ACTTTATTTAATACTTAATTATATTAAAAAAAATTATATTTAAAAATATATTTATTCGCGTATACTTTATTATATAATATATAAAATTATTTTTAAAAGATATTTGAGAATATAATAAACGTATAGAGGTCTGCACGAAAGTCCTATACCCGCTAAGACTCTTACGCTCAGACTTCGGATAACGTCTTACCTAAAGGGTTACCTAGACAATACATCTAAAGTTCTTCGAAATCGCATCTAGCTCTAGCTAGGTTTCGAGGCTTAATACCCCTATCAAGCTAAGAGAAGTACCTAAAGTTCTATCTATACGCTATAAGAAGATATTTCTAGGCTTCCCCTCTATAGGGCCGCTTTTCGAAAGTAGAATTAAGGCTACACTAGTGCGGGTGTAGAACTTTCGATATAGACCTCTATATATAATTTATAATAGCTTTTAGACTTATCTTAAATTATAAAAAATATTAATAAATAATTATATTTAAAATATTTAATATTATTTTAATTAAGAGAAGATATTAATATATAATTATATCTAGAGTATATAATATTATCTTAATTAATATAATTAAATAATTTTTTTTTTAAAATATAATTAGATTTAAAGGTAATTAGATAGATATAGAGTCTATATTAAATAAAAAATCTAATTTTTTTTATATTCTTTATTTTACGTAGTAATTATATTGTTTATTAATTAGATATTTAATTATTACTTTAATAACTTATTAACTAAGTAATTAATAGTATTAATATAAATATAATAATATTTTATTATAATCTATCTAATTAATATAACTATATTTTAATTAAAAATTTAAAATACTTTTTTTATATACTATCTCTATTATAACTATATTATTTCTATTTATAAATTTAATATTTTATAGATAAAATTAATATAATTTAAAGCGCTTAACTAATTAATTAATTTAATAAATTTTTTAGTCGATTTAATATTTAAGCTCTTTATCTTAACTCTCTACTTTATAATATAATAATTAGAGATAATAATAGCGAGGTTTTTATAAGAATTATAGCTATTATATAATAAATATAATTTAAAAATTAAAGATTTATAAAGTTTAAAGAGTATTATTAAGTTATTTTAAAGTAAATTAATTAAATATTTAATATTATAATAATATCGCTAAGTAATATAATATAATAATAAAATTCTTTTCTATTTTTTAAGTACTTAATTAATAAATTAACTAGCTTATAAATAATATATTAAATAAATACTCTATAATTTAAATTTATAATTTATTAAAAGTAATAAATAAAATATTTAATTAATTAGATTTAACTATAGAGAGTATTATAAATATATATATTATTAAGTCTCGATAAATCTTTCTTACCTTAATAAACCTTTTAACTTAGTTAGATAATATATTTTAATATTTACTCGTAAGTTTTTAAAAAATGAATTAATTTTAAATTAATTTTATTTACATTAATAAGAAGTTAATTTTAATATTTATTATAATTTATACTTATAATTTTCTTTTATTTTTATTTTTACAATTTATAGAGTTTTTATTATTTTTTTAATTTCTACGATTTTTATAATTTTATAATTTTATAATTTTACGATTTTTTAGCGAGAGAGATTAATAGATTTAAATCGAAAATAAAGCGAAATAGTTTCGAATTTTATTAAAATTATTACTACTCGACTATCTAAGCTTATATTAAAGAGTATTTTTAATAGAGTAGATAAGTCTTTAATAAGCGATATTTAAATTCTTTATTTTAAAATATTTATAAGATTAAATTTAATAATTTCTTTTTTATCTAAAAGCGTAATTTACGTTCTATAATTTTATTAAAAAAATCTAAAATTTAAATAGAAAATAAAAAAGTTATTCTGAAATTATATAATATATATCTATTTTTTAATTAGAGCTATTGATAAATTTAATAAGCGAACTTTAATAAGCGATATCTAATATTCTTATTCTTTAATAATTATAAGATTAAATTTTATAGTTTTTAGATTATTAAAAAGCGTAAACTACGATTTATAGTTTAAAAAAGAAATCTTAAAGTTTTAATAGAAAATAAAAAAGTTATTCTATTTTATAAATAACGTATATCTATTTTTTTAATAAAGGCTATCGAGCGAACTTTGATAAGCGATATTTAAATTCCTTACGCTTTAATAATTATAAGACTAAATTTAAATATTCTTTTTTTATCTAAAAGCGCAAGTTACGTTCTATAAATTAAAAAAAAATCTTAAAATTTCAATTAGTATATATAATAGAATAAGATAGAACTAAGCTATATAATCTTGAATTTATATATATAATTAATTATAAATTCGAGATTGCTACGCTTTTTAATTAGACTATCTAAGTTAGCTCGCTAGCTCTCCTATACCTTTATATAAAAAATTAGATATATATTATTTATAAATAAAATAATTTTTTTATTTTCTACGAGTAAAGGTTTATAAATTAAATTTATAATTTTTTTTTTAATTAGAGCTATCGAGTAAGTAGGTAAGCGATCTTTAATAAGCGAACTTTAGTAAGCGATATTTAAATTCCTTGCGCTTTAATAATTATAAGACTAAATTTAAGAAAAAAAATTCTCTAAAAGCCCATATTTCGTCCTATAATTTAAAAAAAAAATCCTAAAGTTTTAATAGAAAACCAAAAAGTTATTCTAAAATCAAATATTATATACCTATTTTTTCTATTCGACTATCGAGCGAACTTTGATAAGCGATATTTGAATTCCTTGCGCTTTAATAATTATAAGACTAAATTTAGATTTTTTTTTTATCTAAAAGCACATATTTCGTTCTATAATTTAAAAAAAAAAATAAAAATTTAATAGAAAATAAAAAAGTTATTCTATGTGTTAATAATATATATCTATTATTTTTTAATAATTGCGAACGCTAATTTATTTACCCGCGATAACTTAGATAGTCTAGTTAAAAAGCGTAGAGAACTCGAATTTATAATTAGCTGCATATATAAATTTAAGGTTTTTAAGCTTAGCTCTATCTTATTCTATTATATATACTAATTAAAATTTTGAGATTTTTTTTTAAATTATAGAGCGTTATTTGCGCTATCTAATACTAAAAGAATTATAAAATTTAATCTTATAATTATTAAAAAGCAAGGAGCTTAAATATCGTTTATTAAAGTTCGCTCGACAGCCCCAATTAAAAAATAGGTGTATATTATTTAATTTTAGAATAACTTTTTTATTTTCTATTAAATTTTTAAGATTTTTTATTTAAATTATAGAACGTAATATAGGCTTTTAGAAAAAAATAGAATTATTAAATTTAGTCTTATAATTATTAAAAGGTAAGGCATTTAAATATCGCTTATTAAAGATCGCTTATTAAAGATCGCTTATTAAATTTACTCGATAGCTCTAATTAAATAAAATAATTATAAATTTAATTTATAGATCTTTACTTTATAGAAAATAAAAAAGTTATTCTATATATAAATAATGTATATCTAATTTTTTAATAAGAAGACTTAAGAGAGCTAGCGAATTAACTTAGTTAGTCTAATTAAAAAACGTAATAACCTCGAATTTATAATTAACTATATATATAAATTTAAGATTTTTAAGCTTAATTCTATCTAATTCTTTTATATATACTAATATATATAATTTAAAAAGAAAGTAAGATATTAAATATATTCTATTTAAAATAAATAGAAAAAAGATAAATTTTAATAAGAGAGATTAAAATTAATAATATATTAGTTATAATAATATTCTTTAAAGAAATAAAGATAATCGCTAAATAGATTATCTAAATAAATCTTTTAATTTAATATTTACTTATTAATATATAACTATATAAGTTAATTCTTTAAAGATAATTAGATATATAAAAAAATTATTAAATTAAAAGTATAAAAGAGTAATTAAAAAGTTTAAAAATATAAATATAATAGAATAGTTAAATATATTACGAGATAGCGAAGAAAAGAAAAGTAAGAGTTTTTATTTTAATTTAATAAGATTAAATAAGATTTTTTTATAAGTATATAATTAATATATATAATAGAATAAGATAGAGTTAAGCTAGAAAATCTTAAATTTATATATATAATTAATTATAAATTTAATAGATCTACGCTTTTTAATTAGATATTACGAGTAAATAAATTAATATTTATAACTATTAAAATCTCTTTTCTTACTTTTAATTACTATATAACTTTACTATTTTCTTTTAAAATTTAATAATTTTTTTTATAATTATAGATCGTAATTTACGCTTTTTAATAATTTTTTTTTTTAAAATTTAATCTTATAATTCTTAAAAGATATAGAATTAAAATATCGCTTATTAAATTTACTTATTAAATTTACTCGATAGTTCTAATTAAAAAAATAGATTATAAATTTAATTTATAAATCTTAATTCGTATCTATATAATAACTTATAATAACTCTTTATAATTTAAGTAGAAACGCGTATAAATAAATAAATAATTAAATGAAATTATATGTATATTTTATATATTTTCAAGTATCTACTAGTATTATTTTAAGTTTATATTCTATTTACTAAGAGATAGAATAATATATATAAGCAGATTTTGAAAATATGTAATTACTGAAGGGGTCATTAGCGCGTGAGATGTTATTGTCTATATAATATGCTACTAAATTCGTTTATAAAGACGCCGTTCAATCTTTAAAGTATCGGTGTTGTGTCTTTGAGAAAGAAGCACATGCCTTCGAGTTACATGATTGCGTTGCCTTTTTGACGGAATTTGTTGAAAGACACCCCCTTGAACCGTGGCCTTTACTTTGGCTCTCGCCTTTGACCAAACTTTTCTTGTCATACAAATTGCCGACTTAATAGCAGCCTTCAAAGTCAGATTTTCACACTGTATGCTCATTATTGATCGACCAAGAGTCATGGCCGTCAGAGTCTTGTAACATATCATCCGATTCTGCCGACTTGTCGTCAGGATCATGGAGGTAAGCGGCAGGACTCATGGCTAGGGTTTGTCTTGCATTCTTCGTACTTTGGCCTCCAGATCTGATATTTCTTCTTTGAGCGATATTAGCGAAGTGTATTCGCCATGACGGCCTGAGAACGCCCACTTCTCTTGTTGTCCTTGATCTCGTCCGTTTCGAGCTTCACCCATATCCAGTAAATGGTTTGATAAGTCACCACGGCCCCAAGGAAGACCTTCCCAATTGGACGACCGAAGCTCCTGTAGAAGTTCACCTGTTCAGATTAGCCATTGATCGTTTACAAAACAACGATGCGCAGCTATACATGAGGCGACGAAGGTCTCCGGGGTTTATCCATTGCGTTGTATGCCGTATGGATTATGTGGTGGTGGAGGGGCCCTTTGACGGGAGCAGTAGCAGTCAAGCACTAGACCAGATTGTTCGACATTGGAAACTTGCTGATGTGCCACTGATGCAAAAGATTTCTGCTATCCGGAAAACTTGGGCCTGGAGACGCGAAAAGGTGTGTGGGATTTTTGGGAAAAGTTGAGAGCATGAGAGCACAAGGACAGGTGGTGCAGAGAAAAGGCCAAATCTCTCCACCCACACCCCCTCTGGACTCTCACACTTTCATACCATCATCATATTTATTCACGACAACGGTGTTATCGCCGTGGGTATAATCTCTAAAATTCTCCCAACCCCATCTGATCCTCGATCCCGACTATCTATAACGTGGAATACAATCCTGCGACACTTCCACGCCTGTGAGAGAACCCGCCAAGCCAGCTGAACATGGTACGAATACTCCGCAATGTCTCTTCTCCCGCTTCAAAGCTTACTGCTGGTACAGGCCCAAACTCTCCAACAACGCAGAGCGAATGAGAAATACGCCAGACAAGAGGCTGCCAAGAGAGGCAAACCAGAAAGTGCCATTAAACAAAAGCAAAAGTTCAGTCCACCAATATCACCACTCTGGATAGGTGCGTTATCGAAACATTGAAGAGATAGAATCCCGGAAACGATGTGAGCTGATATTGATGCAAAGGTGTCCTAGTCTTTGTGCTTTGCGGTGGCATCATATTCGAGCTCTTGAGACTCTTTTTCTAAGCTTGCTGCGTTACGAAGGGTTTCAGGGATGCGGACTAGGTCTCGGTATTCAGAGATTCACTTGGAGCTATATGGTCGAACCTGTGCAAGCTAGCAAAATTGGTAATGTAGCCAAATTGCTCACTAGTTTGACGCAGTCACCTTGGAACTCTTTCGTCCAATTAAAACGAGAGCCAACCTCAAGAGCCTAAGCCTTTGCGCTTCGATTCTTTTTTGTACGACAAGCCAGATTCATACTGTCTCTCCAGATCTGCATTAATGTGACCGCTGTACTCAGCCGAACGAGCAGAAAGACCCGCCGATCCATCACTTCCTTCCATGGTTGACTTCTGGCCTCCGAGCAGTCGCAGAAATTTGCTTTTGCGAGACGTGTCGCCGGGCAACCCATCCACATTCCATGAATTGGCGCCCTTGCCTATGCCATTCCTCCCTGAATTACGCTCGGCGTTGGCGTCGACCTCCCTTAACAAGCCAAACCGGTTAGGCAACTGCGCATCTTTGCGCTGCTTCTTGTTTGCACTGAGCGCTAGCTCGGCGTCGATCATTACCTGACGGTCACTGTTTGTCGATTCGCTCTGCTTGTTACTTACTTTCGAGCCGTCATTTTGTAGCCTTTGCCGTTTACTGGCTTTGGTATCATGGGTTGAAGTTGATGACTCAATATTCGAATTATTCTTGGATAGAGCTCTTGAATCTTGCTCTGATTGATCGCCACCGTCACTGGATGTTGACCTCTCGCTCTCAGCTCGGCTTCGTTTCATCCTGACTCTGGCAGCTCCAGGAGCTGCAATTGGCAATGAATTCTCTAGGGCGCTCATAACATCAGCATGACCATCCTCGTATTCATCACTGTCCGCTTCTTCTTGTTTTATGTCAGGATCACTCGATGCGATCTTGCCTATCAGCTCAGCATGTTTGCGCAAACCTGCGTAGATGGCAGCCTCTTTGGCTTGCCTCCTGAGAACACGCATCTGAGTGTTATATTCGGCCAGGTCCATCCTTGCACGGACTCTTTCTTGCTTCGCAGTCTCGAGTGTTCCGTTCTCGAGGATCCTCTGGCCTTTAGCATTGATTGCCTTGTAAGGGGTTCTCAACTCTGACGGGACCTCGATGTTCTTTTCGTTACAGTGGTCAAGTGCACGCTGGCGAACCAGCATCTCCTTGCGAATTTCAGCATTGTCGATAGCCCTGCGGAGTTTTCGTCGGAGCTTGTGGTTGTAGTTGAGCGTCTCAAGATCTTGACCTTCGCCAACATCTAATTTGATGAAATCTTCTGGTTCCCTCTCTTCACTTAGCTGTGCCGTAGAGATGTACTCCGCCTTTGCATGATCTGGGACGTCTCCGAGGTTGACTCTGCTGTTGGCTTTCTTGGGCTTCACGTCACTTCGACACCCTCCAATCTCAATAGCATCAAAGTCAACTTCGACACCCTTCATACCTAAAGCCCGAGGCTTGATCTCGTCTACACCAAGGGTGTTGGCAAGTGTGAAACCTAGCGCTGCGCAACAGTCAAGCGCCGCCTTGCGCTCTAAAATGTTAATGTCAACGGCAATCTTCTTTGACTCTTCATCCTCAATACTCTTCAGTCTCGTCTTTTCCCTCGTTTGCTCCTCTAAAGACAGGACATGATCAGTCTTTCCTTGGGTATTCTGTAGCCGCACAGATCCATACCTTTGATAGCCTTCCAAGTGAGTTTGATATCTCGATAGACTCTCCTCTTTTCGTCTCTGGCGACACGACGCTCCGCTTTGCCTGATTTCTGTTTCAAACGTAGAGCTTTTCTTTCGGCGGCTTTGCGCTTCTTCTTCCTGAGAACCCTCCTCTCCAGCTGATCATCGGGTAGGTCCCACAACTCCAGCCAATTTTCTTCGCCTTCCGGGATCGAGACACCTTCCGGGATTGTAGGTTTCGGGGGCGGTGGTCGCGGCTCAAGAGCCGCTCTCTTCTTCTGCTGCGTTTTGCTTAGACGACTAGGTGGCCGTTGAGATGCTACAGCTTCTATATACGTGAGGCGATCGGGGTTTATCCCATTGCGTAAAGCTGGAGAATTGGTAGAAGTAGACGCTAGAGCTTCTCCATCGCCAGGTTCATCAGTGGTCCGTGTGCCATTGGTAGATCCTCCTTCCTTGGTTTGCTCCGCAGCAGCTCTTTCTTGGGCCTTTTCCTGTCGCCGACTTAGGGTGCCTTGAGAGATGACAGTACCATCCTCCTGCATCGCGACCGGTCCCACATTGAACGTTACCCCAGACTGATCGTGTACTACGGCTAGTCTTTGTGCCTGTCGAACAGCCTCCTGCCAGATCCTTCGTCTTTCGCCCTCAATATCCCGGAGACGGTTGCGTTCAGCATTTTTGTTGTACTTGTCGGGATTCCTGGTCATTCGACGGAGGATTGTAGCATTGAGTTTCCTTTGTTTCTTCTCGTCCGATTTGCGATTTCTCTTCTCACGCCGTGCAGCGACTCGATATTCCCGATTCCGTTGTTTTCTCTCCCAATCTTTATCTGAGTTACGATTTAGTCGAGCTTCACCGAAAAAGCTGTACTGTTGATGTAAACCTTTGATCTCTTTGGATGCCTCGAAGCCGTTTTCAGAATGGTCTTCATTTACAGTGTAACTCATTTTCAGGGCAGAAGAAATTAATTCCAAGAATTCGGATGCCAAAACGCTATCTCATCGATGTTGCTGAGTGTCAAAGGACGAATTTGCTAGATAATTATTTTTACCCCGCATAATACTGTAGCGATTCGTGCGGAGCGGGAGCAGCGCCTATCTTAGCGCAAGATAGCCGTGCGTCTTCAACTTCGTACTTGATGCGATTGCGAGCTAAAGCCTAAAGGAGGTAACGCTCCTTTCCTGAGCTCTTTACTCTCATTGGTCAACAAATGCCATAAAGCCGCTGCATCAGACAAATACTATATCGCTTTTGCTGGCGAATTTGATGTTATCACCCGTTATGTGTATCATATCGATGTGCACACCTTGAGGCTCTCACGTTGAAAGCACTCAAGTACGAAGTCTTATGCCTCTACATCAGTTCTATAAGCATGAAATTTGCTGACAACGCCAACGCTATGTTGCAGTTCCACATCCTCTCATTCACAGCACCGCTTGACTTCGAAAAGATGAAGCATCTTGACCACCCTCAAAAGCTCTCAATTCTTTCTCATCATCAGGCCTTGTGATCTCAGATTTCCTCTTCTTTTTCTTCTTCTTTGCTATAAGAGTAGCATCGGCATCTTGAGAGCCTCGAACTGGACCGCCATCAGCTTCCGGGTTAGGCTTCCGGAATTGAGCCTCTATGTCTCCGGTTAGCTGCTTCAGCTTCTTTTTCTTTTTCTTCTTGACCAACGTGCCCTCTGCCGGAGCCCCGTCTGTCGCTTGGATACGCTCAGAGGCGCGCTGCATTTCTAGACGTAGACGCTCTACTTCAGCAAGCGCTTTGGCCATCTCTGTGTCTTGCGCCTCTTGTCTCTCGATGTCGAGCTGCTCAGCGACACTCTCAGAATTGTCAAGTGAGAAGCTACCTAGCCCTCTTGAATCGACCTGAAGTAGAGACTTCTTCGTTTTGTCACGCGCCCGTTGAAATGGACCGTTATCGTTCATCGTGCCCATAGAAGCTGTTTCGGATTGAGCCACTCCTGAATCTTCGTATTCGATGTTCTCATCTTTTACAATGTCAAATTTCTTGGGCAGCCTGCGCTTCTGCCTTCGAGTCTCCATATTAGAGCCACCAGCTGTCAGAGTCTTGTCCCCAAGATCTAAGTTCATGATCGGAATGGAATCAACGTCAACGTCCTCCCCGTTTGCGCTCCTTAAAATATCATGGAACGGAGTCGAGGTACCAGAAGACACATCATCGTTTCCTATGTAAAAAGGATCGTCCTTATTTCTCTCCCGCCGTTGGTTGCGTTTGCGCATAACTGTGTCCGTGTCTGGGATGCTGTCTACTGTTTGCTGATATGATGATGGTTCAGGCCCAAGAGATGCTAATGAATTGAAGGTCGGGCCAGTGGCAACTCTTGGGAGCGGGCGTTTATTGTAAAAGGAGTCGAATTCCGCGGCCTCGGATTCAGCTAGGGGACCCTGGTCTGCAAGCTGCAGAAGGCGTGGAAGACTCTTGTTGATAGGAGCTCCGAGATCTAGATCATCCGGCAAAGGCACTTTTCGCTGGGCGGTCGGAGCTACTGGGTTCAGCTCGAAGCCAGTGAAGAGTTGTGGCATGGCTCGCGTAAGGAGAAGAGGCCCACGGTCGTTTTCTAAGCCGTGGCTAGTGATAGCTTGGGAAGCCACCCTCATTAACTCCAGAAGTTCAATAGATCTTTCTTGAACTTCAAGATTTGGGTGCATTGCCAAGGGTTCAAGGAAGTGAATGACCCGCGCCACTAGCAGAGACATCATCGTTTTATGCTCAGAGCTCCAATCGAGCAATCTTTGCGACACGATAGAGGTAAGCACCTTGGGAATGGCTTGAAGGTATGCGCAAATGACCATAGGCGAAAGTGATTGGACCTTGGGATGTATAAGAGAATCCAAGCTATGGTACGATGAGACGGAACCGTCAACGTACTCGCCGACAATCCAAGCCACGAATGTGAGTATGCCCTCGCCGCCAGCACCTTTGAGAGCAAAGAAACCTTCGCTCCCAGACACGCTTAGGAGAGAATTTGCAGCTCTGACAGCCTCTGCTCTCACTGTGCTCACCCTCACAGCAACATTACGTAACTCCCAGCCGATGGCACTGGATGCGTCGGCCTCATGTGACGTAGATGAGTTTTTAAGAGTGCGCCCACTGCTTCCGTATAGCTCAGGGGTAGATTGACCGGTGATAGGCACCAAGTTTACCAGCTGTATCAATATATCAATATACCATTCAAAATCAGTGATGTTTGAATATGTGTCCTTAGAGCACATATCAAGTATCTGATGTATAATGATGGTTCTGTACTCGGCTGGCAATGCAGTAGTCTCATCCTGCGGTTCTGCCGTAGGTCGCAGAGTTTCTTCTGGATCCTCTCCGTCTGAGTCTGCCGCAGGTTCAACACTAACGGTGTGACTTCGACCATCGTCAACGCGTCTACTGGCAATAGGTGCGTTACGGAGTTGCTGCATAAGGCGCTCAACGACAGCTATCATATTGTCAATGTTGACCATGCCAGAACCAAGGTCAAGAGCTTGTAGCCGTATTGAAACGTCAGGATCGTCAATGCAACCGATGATCACGTCTTGTTGCATGGATATTAAATGTGGATGTGACGACACAATCTTGTTGAATGCGAGAAGTGCTACATATTTCACTGCGGTTTGTCAGTTTTATCCCGAGTGTGACTTCTGGTCAACCCACGGTTGGGATCTCCTTCCACGACGATCATTCCTCGAAGCTTCCCGACGCACAAAGAAGCAATCTCCTCCCCTTCTCTAGCCCCATCCGTACCTTCCAAGATACCTCCCTGTATCAGGCCATTGATGCACTCGTAGAGGAGTGACATGGCCGGCGTTGTCCGAATGAGTTTGGTAAGAGGAGGCAATAGTTTTTTAATCAAGCGAGGTTCCAATGGTGTCAGCGTTGCAAACTTGAGGCGGTCAGCATAGAAGATAACACATAATGTCGACGCACGCACAAGTTTGATGATTTTGATGGCCATCCAATTGTTGCCCCCATCGACCAGTAAATCGAAGAGCCTGGGGGCCAAGGCAAGGAAGTCTCTTGGTCTTCTCCAACCCAACTCGCAGACAACATTCACTACTGCAGCTGTGACGCTCGAGTCTTCATCCTCATCCATGAGAAGATCCTTTATTTTCGGCCAAGCTGACCGTAACGTATCAGGATATACCAACGCAAGCCTATACAGAGTAGCGACCGTCTTCTTCCGTATATTTGGATTCGAGTGCGATAATCTTGGCAACAAGTCTGACAGAAGAGAAAGCGCCAAGGAGGATGTGATGATGTGAGGTAAAGTCACCAAAGGTAAGGACATTGTGGGCGCCAGTGGGGAAGACACATCCTGCGGCCCAGGTGAGCGCTCTGCAGATTCTGAAAGTTATGCTTCATACCTTTTTTAGTAGGTTTGTGGCAAGCATCAAGACCTCTGTGTCGGGACGAAAGCTTTGGACTGCCGCGAGGTACCCAACCCTTTTTTGGAGATATCGTGGGCATGACATGACCTCCAGCACATGGAACGACGCCCAAGACATGTCGTGGCCGAACATTTCGAGGTATATGAGCTTCAGGAGCGCAGTAGCTTTCAGATCCATATCTGCTCCCCGTATTTCGGAGCGACATTCTCGAAGGCTATGCTGTATATACTCCCTTTCATTGCCTTTGTGATTCCGTAGGCCCCTGATCAGGTCGTAAAGAGACTTTTCAAACCTGCGACTCTGTTCAATATATGTGATAAGCTGGAGAGGCGAGAACCTACATTGTGAACTACGATGGAAGTTCAAAGCCAGGGAGGTTGAGTAGGCCAGACAAGTAGTGTCCTGCAAGCAGAGCCCATTTCAAGAGCGCTTGCATTCGTCTTCGGCTTCAAATGTGAGGGACTTTTGACCTTACAACGACGAGAGGTCCGGCGTTAAGACCTTCTGCTTCTTGAATACTTGCGGCATGTGCTAGCCCGCAACATGCCTTTGACAAGGCTATTCGCTACAATGAGTGCTAACATTCGTAAATGTGGCGTAGAATTAGTGGATACCGCCGTGGTAGTCGTGGTTGAACGAGGTTCGACGTCAAACTGGTGTAGAAACGAAAAATAAGCTCGGTGCACCTTTTTTTGAATGCTTCTAATTTTTACATGAAGTCCGCGTCTTACACTTGCATCGACATCCCTATTTAAACTTAGAAATCTTTTTGCTCCGGCAAATTTGATGTCAAGATGTCGCTCAGCTCTCTTCTCCGACAATCTAATGCAGAAGCTCTGAGCCTATCTCAGCAGACGGCTCAGTACCTTCGAAAACACGCATCTACGGGAATATCGACAATTCATATCCCGTTTCTGTCATATCCAGAATCTACAGACGTATGGCTTATGTACGAAAAGCTGCTCCTGTCCTGTTTGCGCACAGGAGACGACAAGGCTGCCTTCAATTGCCTTGAAAAGCTCATCGATCGCTTTGGAGCTACCAACGAGCGGGTCATGGGTCTACGTGGACTATATCAAGAGGCGGTAGCGAAGGACGATGCAGCGTTGGAGAGAGTTCTGCAGGAATACGACGAAGTCCTCGCTGAAGATACTGTCAATACTGTCGGTGTTCCCCAACAAAATGCCTCCCGCGGTCTATACTAATTCGGACATTTTGTAGCCAGTAGCGAAACGTCGGATCGCACTCCTTCGGAGTCTATCGAGGACCACCGAGGCCATTGATGCTCTGACAGAGCTATTAGAGTCATCACCGACCGACATCGAAGCATGGACGGAACTCTCCGACCTGTACTTGTCACAAAATCTGTTTCCTCAAGCGGTCTTTTGCCTCGAGGAAGTTTTGCTAGTGGCGCCCAATGCTTGGAATGTGAGATAGCCTCCTTCACGCTGATTGGATAGATGCTGACGGACTCATGCTAGATACATGCCCAATTAGGTGAGGTACTGTACATTTCCGCAATGAACGGCAATGAAAGCTCGGAAGGCAGAAGTCTCGCCGAGGCAGCGCGACGCTTTTGTAGGAGCGTTGAACTCTGTGATGATTATCTTCGAGGATACTATGGGCTAAAATTGGTATGATCGTGACCGTATATCGGTAGCATGGGACTGACGCGCATCTTCAGACGTCAGACCGAATGCTTTCCACCAATCCCAACGACACCAGGTCGACAGGACAGGTGGCGACCGTTGATAATGGCGAGCTTCCGGTGCTTCCGACTGCAGTTGTAAGAAGACTGAATGAGCAGGCCACCTTCAAACTTGCTGAGATCACCCGGACGAGTAACAGTAGCTGCAATGTTGCCGACATAAATGCTGCCAAAGATTTGCTGAATAGGAGCACCCAAAGGAAGCAGCGGTGAGGGCCTGTATGATTGGACGATGACTGAGTGTAGATCTCGAAACACATCCGCAGTGGGTTGCAGAATCGACGCCAAACAGCATCCTAGAATCAAGCGCGGCAAGCCTCAGTTGCTTCGATAGAACAGAGTCGAGTGACTCGAAGTTTGTTGAGAGGCCTGTGCCAATGGCGGCACCTCCGCATGGCACCACGGCACGGAGATGAAGTGCGGCCCTGTTTGCCTGCTCATGGAACAACGGGATTTTGCAGGGCCAATACATGTTTATGATCCAGATGAACCAGCAGAGAGCGTCTTGAGTCGATAGGCGTATTGCTGTGATACGAGAAGATGGTGCTACTTAATGTCCCACAGGAACTTCCAAAATTTAAGTCGTCAAGGGGCACGTTCATGCTCGTAGTTATTGGTATGGGTTGTGCGAAAAGTCCTAGGCATCGACATGTGAAAAGTAGATGTAAGCTCGTAGTTGTCTATCCTCCGCTAGGAGAAGAAGACGACACCTGCCGATGTTGAATTTGTTGACTGCACTCAGGTGGTGATATGATGTACTCTCGGGAGAGTGAGAACAGAATTGGGTGATAGCCTCATAGCTTTATAGGTCATACACATTGTGGAGTACCTAGATGAACCTGCAGGACACCCTCTCCAAAAATTGGGTATGCATTTCCCACATCCAAATTCACGATTCAAGAACTTCACTGCCAGATCGATCCCCAACAATCATAGTACTGACTTCTGTCGACGAGGCCACATCTAATATTTGCTTTGCACTGCCAAGAAAAACACAAGACTATTCAGCCTCTGTTTGTTGACTCAGCTTGTGTTTTCCCCAACTTGGATCATTGCCTCGGTGTTCAAGAATTTCACCGCTACTTGAAAAATTTCGTGCCCGTCGTCTCATTTCCCAAGGCAATCTATGCTCTTCCTCTTCATCAAGAGGATTCGAGCTAGATCATTCCAAACTCTACATGCCGTGAGTTAACCGATTGTTCTTCAATGCCATTGCTAATGCTCATGGTGCTTGCTAGATACAACATCACCATCGACCACACCAACACTGCCCACAGTTCGGATCACTCCGATCATTCTGATCACTCTTCATCATCATCAGTGACAGACGACGAAGACTCTACGGGTACTGGTGTCCAAGTGCGCCCAAGATCAGTCGTCGAGGGTCACGAGTATTCTGACCCCGTTGAAGAGCAAGACGGCAGCTGGAACGTGGTATACCGTGACGAGATCGGTCCATCGGATTCCGCATCAAGGCCTCGGACCTCCAATCAGCAACGCCCTTTTGTGGAAGCGCCACGACCGGAGGAAGCACGACGTCCATCTTTCCGTCGTCACATATCCCGCGAGCCTGCGCGCCACCTCCCACATCCTAGAGCGCATCGATCACCGCCGTCGGAGCCGCCTGAAAGTGTGGACCCCCACGAAGAATGGCAGGGCTACGCCCGAGGCCCACCGCAGCATTATAGCCGTCCTTATGCCCACTATGCCCCAGGCTACCCTCATCACGCCTATCAAGCCTATCCAGCTCCAAGTGCCGTACCCGGAGGCCTACAGCAAATAGTCCCTTACGGCTTCTCCCCATACCAAGCCCCTACCGGTGGACCTGCGTCCTCCTATTTCGCGCATGGGCATCATGGGGGGCCAAGCCATGAGATGATTCCCCATGCTCCAAGTGCAGGGTACTTTCCATATGGTCCACAAGGATATCAAATGCCCATGCCCATGCCCATGTCTCCGCCCGTAGTCTACCCTGCTTATGGTGGTATGTATGCACACCCGCCAACTCCACAGGCTCCGCCAGCTCCACCAGCTCCAGCAGCGACCACCCCGCCTCCCCCACCTCCGCCGCCTCCTCCACCGTCTACGTCGGATACTTCCAAAGACGATGAGAAATTTGCTCGCCTCGAGAAGCTTTTTTTGGACCAGAAAGCAGAGCAACAAGAAAAGGCAGCCGCAGCCGAGAAAGCCGCAAACGACAAAGCTGCTAAGGCTGAAGCCGATTCAAATAAAGCCAAAGAGATTGCGGCGGCTTCGGCGGCGGCAGCGGCAGCAGCAAAAGAGGAGGTCGAGAAGGAATATCAGGCTGCTGCAAAGGACAAAGCTGCTAAGGCTGAAGCCGATGCCAAAAAAGCGGAAGAGATTGCGGCAGCTTCTGCGGCGGCGGCGGCAGCAGCAAAAGAGGAGTTCGAGAAGGAACACCAGGATGCTATAAAGGCCAAAGCTGCTAAGGCTGAAGCCGAAGCCAAAAAAGCGGAGGAAATTGCCGCCGCCGTAGCCGCAGCAACTGCCACTGTCAAACCATCATCTCCACCAAAGACAAAGGACAAACCTATCAAATTCAAGGATGCTATTGGGAGAAGATTCAACTTTCCTTTTGATGTTTGCAATACGTGGTCGGTACGTTACTCTAGAATAGGAAGAATTGCAAGCTTTGAACCGCAATTGACCGCTTCTCTTATAGGGTATGGAGTACTTGATCAAGGAAGCTTTTCTCCATGTTGCCGACTTGGGCCCACATGTGGCTGACGGTCAATATGACCTACTCGGTCCGAAAGACGAGATCATCATGCCGTCCATCTGGGAGTCAGTGGTCGAGCCGGGCTGGGAGATAACAATGCACATGTGGCCTATCCCGGAGGCGCCTGAAGGAGGAGACGCTCTAGCAGGGGCAATGGCTGATGTTGTCATTGTGGAGCCAGGTCTGCCCCCCCCACCCCCTAGTGGCAAAATTGTTGATGGTGTGCTTCCACCCCTGAAGGAGCTGCCGTTGATCCATGCTGACTTTGACCAGAAAAGAAAGGCAAGAAAAAAAAAGAAAAGATCCCGCCATTCATGATCTGGACCGCGGGCAAGTCAAACAAGGGCCGAGGGAACGCTAAAGGCAAGAAGAAGTGAGAGCTTCTTGCACTCCTCTCCACTTAAGTTGGTACTGGGATTATACAAGTGTGGACACTGTGCAAAGGATGAAGTCTGCCCAATATGGAACGCTCTATCTGAGACGGCTACGAAGTACGCTCCAATTTTCAGACGATATTTACATCCTGAGGGCGCACGCTTCATCTGTGGAGAGCTATCCCTGGCTTTGACGACTTGTCAGGGCTCTCTTGTTTTGTTTCTTTTTTAGAACATCAATTCCTTTTGGCTTTAGTTCCGTTTTTATTTACTTCTGAACTACGACGATCATGATTGGCTATAGATTCCCCACCAAGCTTTTGCGACGGAGTCTTGGAGAGTGGCAGAAACAGCATCAGCGACGGCGCTTAGAGGAGTGCGTAGAGAACTTTTTCGGTTAGCAGCCAATAAAAATTGCACTGAGGATTTATAAGTGTCAGATAGTAGATATCTATGATTATCATAATCCACTTTGTGTAGCAGCCTGCGAGGACGTGTAAGCAATGGCGTGTACTTGCAAACGATGCATGTATCATGTCAGATCAATCGGCTTGTCTGCACAGTGCAATTCAGTTTCTTGTGTCTAACGTATGATGGGAGGTCTCACTTAACATGTCAGTGACTCATCTAGATTTCAACCATGATGCCGTTTCATAAGCCCAGAATCTCCCTTGCGCTCCTACAAATCGTAGCATATAACCATGATCCCCCTTCTCAAAGTGCCTGACCTACTCGCCAATATGTGTTTTTGCAAGATCGAAAACCCGGATCATGACGAGGAGCTTGTGGTACCAAACCGCCCCTCGCAGCGCCTGTCCACCTCTTCACATCTCACCAAGATTAGAGCCACTTGGCACTGTCCAATCGTACTCACGTCCACGCACAGCCGAGTTGCGCAGAAGCGTCCCGCAGGACCGATTCACCCTTGTCGAAAGCATTACGCCGCGCTCATCTGGCCCCACTGTCCTCCAACGGCCTCGTTCACCTGGTCAAAGGACCCTGCCGAAAGACTTGCAGAGGGAAACTCGGCCTCTGTCCATAGCTGAGTCGAACGGCCAACTTAGGCCCTGCCTCGTTCATGCCGAAAGTCCTCGCCAATCAAATGGCATGGTCGCTGTCATCACCCCTCGGCAGTCAGGAGTGTGGTTCGCCCCTGCTGATCCAGAGCGGAAAACAGTCAAATGCAAGTCATCGCAGCCCAACACAGTCAGCCACGAGCGTCCGATCCACTGAATATGCATCTGAAAGAGAGACAATGGCCGAGATCGATGAAGGGAATTCGAATTTGAGAAGGGAATATGACCGCAGAGATGAAGCTCTGAAAATAGTCCAATCTCCATAAGTCAAGAGTCATGGAGGTGATACTAATGACAGTCACTTGCCAGCGTACATGTTACGGAGCTTGGACAAAAAAAGCACGGTGCGTCCACAGTATTTGTTGAAGGATAATCACACTGTTCTGCATCTGCTGTAGTATCTGTGATGACCATCATTCTTCCTAATCTCACCATCTACCTACTGGTCAAGATTATCATTGTTGACGGCGCATCGGCTGCAATGACGGTATTGCGCTTGCACCTTCGTTGTCATCATCCATCAGTCCATGAGGGACTGAAACGATAGCACCGGTGCTTCTTGGTGGGAGAGGAGGTCCATCAGACTCTGCTGCCTGCTGCCCGTAAATTTCCTGCGGCTTGGTCCGTTGCGGAGGTGGAGGGAAAGTTGTTTTAGCACCACCACCAAATGCTGTTAGTGCTCCTGCCGGAGGCCTTGATGACGTAGACTTTCTTTGTCCATTGTTCCTGCTTTCTTGACTATGCTGTCGATTGCTAAGCAGAGCAGGTTTCTTTGGGATTGGTGGAGCCGCTTTGTGTGCTACATTCGACGACATTAACACTAATGACGACTGGCTGGAACTCCTCGAATTCGGTCCACGAAGAGCGACTTCTTCCCTCAGTGGATCGGGATCGGTGTCAAGCGGCAAAGGTTGACTCCCATCAGGAATTGGCGAAAGTCTGTGAGAGTTCGGATGTTTGAGTTCGTTGTATTTGAGGGCATGGCTTCCTCCAGGTGTCGTCTTACTCGCTTTCCAGTCTGGTTCGTCGGTGGGAGTGAAAGGGTTCTGAGGTCTGTGCACGTTAAGCACAGATGTCTCGTCTGGGGCCTTGAGGTTCGATCTAGCTGGAAGCCCTAGCCCAATGCATTAGCAATGATTAGACGGTTAAAGTGAGAGCCGGGAGATTCCTCACCATTGTCCAACCACCACTTGCGACGATCCGAACTAGCTGGAGGAAGTTCGGGAGCTATTGACTCATAACCAATTGTGTCCTCGTCCTCGATGTCATCATTTCTAGCATTAGCAGTGGTGTCCCCAACTTCCGACCTCCGTTTCGCGTAGATCTCTTGACTCAGAGTCTCTTTTCGGACCTCGTCGACGGCACTCACAGCGCATTGGAAAGTTCCGTAGACGGGCCTGTGATCAGAGAAACGGAGTGGCGCTGTTGTATAATTTATCTGCTTCAGAATCTCTCCTTTTCGAAGTATCCGATCACACCACGCAGGTATTCTCGCCTTTTCTCTACTAGTTGTCAACATTAGGTTACTTAAAGGGCGCGAGATAAGCCTACGAGGTATCGTAATCATCTGAGCCGTTGTTGTATTTATACGTTGGCATGAAGGTAATTCTCGACTCGGAATAAAAGGGAAATGTATGCCCGGCGACCATCTGTAAGTTCAACTGTGTACATGTCACTCAGCAAGCCCAATTATGGATCCACCGCTTCGTGGCTTACCTGATCGTTCTGATACAATGTATCAAGATCGCCTGCTTTGATCAGCTGCCGTGCTTTATCATCGCTCAGGCCTACTCGGTAGTTGAAGTCTCCCAACCATATGATTGCATCATGGTCTTCAATGGATCGATTCCGTTGGAAGCGAAGGCCAGTGCTGATTGTACGATAGTCACGATTGCGTTCTTCGTAGTTAGCAAAACCAGCAGCCAGGTGGGCAGTTACGAAACAGATGCGGGTACTCGCATAGTCCAATCGTATGGCCACCGCCCCTTTGTTTCCGGCCATGCCAGACATGCCAGTCTTTCCATCATTAGCTCAAGATTTCCAAACGCGGGGATTCCCTTGAAGCTTACCTTCTTCACGCTGCCTTCGACATTTTTGATTTTTTTAAGGATACCAGCTTTCACAAAGATCATGAGTGCTGCTCCCACGAGCTGTCCGCTGCGTAATAGGATGTACTCCTCCGACGAGTGCTTGCGAGCACTGTCGTTCAATGTTCGTCTCACAGCGTTTTCCCATGCCTGGCGCCTCACCGGATCAGTAGACATGATCTGTTGCGGGCTAAGCTCTACAATTTCTTGGAAGCCAACAGCAACAATGCCAGGGTGCTGATGCAATTGATTGATATCAGGCCACAGCCAGGCTGTAAGATCTTCCTTGACGCCACTGCCGCGACCGTTCAGATTGAACGTTCCAACCCAAATTTGCACCGTGTCAGGTGTGGAGTACTCGTTGAACCTGAATTCTGTCACTATCATGAGGATACTGGCCGAAGTTTAAGACACACCTCCTCTTGAGCTCCGCGCTTACAAAGTCGGTGATGGGATCATACAAATGGACAGACGACTGGTCCATCAAGCGTCCCTTAAATATGTTAGAGTGTTAAAGTGATTACAAACCCTTTAGTCGTTTACCAATAGCATGTCAATAGTATTCTGCCTTCCCTTGTCTGCGAAATTATTGATGTACATTCTGGTGGCACTTTTACGGGCATCAGCTATGGCGCCAGCCAATGACATCTTCCCATGTCGGGTGAAGGAGGATTTCAAAGCCCCAGTGCCGGCGTATATCTTAGATAATGCCTGTAGCACACTTTAGCCCTTGGAACATAGTCCTTATATTGATTATGACTCACATCTCCATTGTCTGCCCAGAGGCTAGAATGCCTTACCCAGAAGTCTGTTGCAGTATGCTCATTGCGATGCTGTAGAAACTGCTCTAGAGCCATTTGGCTAATAATAGTTTGAATGAGGTTAGTCCGGTCTAGGCAATCCAGGCAGTTTGTGCGAAAGATGCCTTCCTGTTGAAGTATCACTACCTCTCCCACTTGTGCAGCCTTCTCGTCATACAGCGATCGTTGAGACGACGAGTCCACATCTTCACACAGAAAGTACACAAATCCGTCCGCACGGTCCTGAATGAGCCGTTTGACCATGGTTGCAGCTTCATATCCTCCTGGTCCTCTTGTCTCGGCATGGAAATCGAATTGCGACTCAATAAGACGATTTTCCGACGTCCCACCAACGTCGACCGTTTGATTTAATGGGCTATGCAGCACATGATAATTGTATCTTGCTGTTAATTCTGCCTCTCCGGGTTTTGACTCACTCAAGAGATTGAGGATGTGAATTGAGCCATAGTCAGCTCCCAGAGACCCAAAATGCTTATCAAAAGCTGGTTGCGTAGCTTCAGGAGATCTAGTAATCTGAATTTTCTGCTGTCCTGGAAGCAGACCGGTAGCCTGCTCCCAGAAAATGGGTATAGAACCCCTTATCTGGGCGTAAGAGAAACACAGACTGGAAGGATGGTAGAAAACGGTCTCCGTTTCTACGAAGTTTGCCACGTTCCCATCGTCGTCTATGCCTCGAGAATTGAACCTTGTTCCTGCACGCCTACAGGACAGTCTGGATATCAAGGTTAAAGTTGAAGGTAAATTAGTCCTCAGGCCCTTAATTGGCGAAGAAGAGGACGGGACGGTGATTGTGGAAACAAATCCTCGGATAGCGGACGTCAATATTCGAGAGGAGTCAAGAAGTTCTTTCTCTTTTGCTGCCAGTCGGGAACGAAACTTGATGAGAGGATCTATCATATAGGAGTTCCAGAGAAAACCGTCATCTAGATTATCGATATCAAATGCTGACTGCTCCGACAATCTAGGAGACTATTAGATCTCCGCATTCTCGAGATGACATACCTCACATACCTATGTTGGAGCCGGTTGGTCAAGTCGAAAGTCAAGCTATAGTAAAAAGTCCCGCCGCTTAGGATCTTCTTCAGTTCGGAGCAGGGATGCTCCAGGGCCGCATCATGCGGATCTACCACATTTGTGTGCTCGTGCCTGTGAGGCGGCCCATGGTCTACATAGTACGGGTCAACCTCTTGATGAAGCTCGTAATCAAAATCGTCTCTGTTCAGGCAATCTGAAACTCTTATTAACAGGCTCCGAGTCTCACTGAACATTGAACTTGAGCAAGGGGCTCACAGAAGTCGACAGAGAGTATTCTCTGAACAGTCTCATCGGGTCTCACTATCAAGATTTCGAGTTTAGCACCCCTTCCGCAAGGCAAATACCCGTGCAATAAGACAGTTCAGAGGAGCATTGACGACTTTTTGCCCCCGGAACTTCTCTTACGAAAAGCAAAGTGGTCCGGCATAGGGAAGGCGAACTTCTCGGAAAGTATACATACCTGTAGCCACACGAACAGCTCCACTGATGACACAAAGAAAAACATCGGCGTTGATGTTGATCAGACCAAGCGTTCCATGAACCCCAGATGCTCGTAGCACACGGTAATCCGTCAGGTCAACATCCTCGTGAGCCGTGAACTCGACCATGCATTTGGAAGCCGAAGATCTCGCGCTTGTCTCATTATTGCTCGAGGAATCCGCGCTGGTACTTGACAGGCTGTGACGCAATATGAGAGCATGAGAATCTGTAAGGACAGCAAGAGCTCTCTGAGGGTGTTCTCGCAATAAGAGTTTTAAAGACATTAGTCACGAGCGCAAGTTTGCAAGCGACAAATGGATATGGCGGTACAATTTCTACTACCCATGAAACATCTGTAGGATCTACCAATTGGTGCGAGTCTGAGCACTAGTACACGGACACAAATTTCGCCTTTTGGTCCAGTTCAAGCTACTGCGCATCTACGAGGTGCCAACACTATTAAAGCCTCTTTGTACCTTTACGACACTACGACTCCTTGCAGTGCCAGAGCAGGTGTACAGGAGCAGATCTCATACTGAACACACTCCTCCAAATCCAATTGAGACACTTTTTTTCTCTTGATGAGCTACTTGATAGGAAGCAGAATCGTTGGATCGATGAAATTGCTACATTCCACCATAAAACAAGCGATGCAAAATGGGGTATCATGTTCCAAATATCTCGAACGCCAAGAGCATATCAGCAGGAATGCAGAAGCTTGCGTAAAGCGCCGATTTGTTATCATGTCTTCGTCATCATTGATGAACAGCCTTGGGCGCTGCCTTCTGGCGCTTCCCAATACTCTGAAGACGGCGTGCAAATGCGAATGCGAGTGCTTTGTCGGCATAGATGAAGGCGTTTCCAATATTCTGAGAGCTCGCAAACATCTTTGCCTCAATGATTGATCTTCTTTGGATCAGGTCGTTGAGCCTGTCCAATTGAAGCCGATGCCTTTTGATCCTGGTCCCACTCAGACAGAGTGAGAAGAAAGTGACAGTAGACTTACATCCGCCTCCTGATGTCCTCAAATCTTACCGTCATAGCATTCTCTATCTTCCTCACTGCTTCCCGATGACAATCGTTGATGACAGTGCGTCGAGCCTTTCGACGTCTTCTGGCCTAAGAGACTGTCAACCCTTATAACGTCATTAGCTCGGGTCTGAACACAGGATAACCTTTCTCTGCATTTTTGTAGCCAACTTGGTGACTTGGTTGTCATCGGAGCTCTGAGACCCTGGCTGGGACGGTTCTTCTACTCCACTTCCATCGCTTCGGGCCAATGCTCGTTCTCCTGTACGCTGTGACTTGGAAACGCGCACCCGTGCCATAATCGGCTGTTTGATTGAATGTCCCAAGCTCCTATCATTCGTAAGTACAATAAAAGGATAATTGACAAGATTCGTGGATCCGTTCCCGCCCGAGCCGCCTGTAGATGTGGCCATTGCCAAGCACCATATAAGCTTCTCCAGGAAACTCGCCTAGACAATTTTTGGCCCCATCAAGACAGTTCTGAACCTCGTACACTATCCCACGGCGTTCGATTTTCAATTCATCAACCCAGCGACATGGGACTGGGTGCTCCTAAAAAGTGAGTAGAGCAAGATTGTCACCCTTTGCGCGTTGCTGAACTCAATAGACGTTTCAAGCTCTCCCACGACCCCAATAATACGGCCTGGAGCCGGTCAGCTACGAAGTATGGCCACAAGATACTCCAATCTCATGGCTGGATGCCCGGAGAACTACTCGGAGCCAGAGGTGCATCCTACTCAGACCAGCGCTCTACGGCTAGTGCTTCCCATATAAGGATTACGCTCAAGGACGACAACCTGGGTCTAGGTGCAAAGCATGAAGCAGCCCTGGATAGTAGTAAGACTACAGGCCTTGACGTCTTTCAAGACCTACTTGGACGCTTGAATGGCAGGAACGTAACAGATCTAAAAAAGGATCGAATACATAGGTCAAACCTGAGGAGCTCCGCCTATATCGATCAACGCTGGGGGAATCTTCGTTTTGTCAGTGGAGGACTATTGGTCGGAGCCGAAATGAAGGACCGAGTGAAGGGTGGACAAGATGCGCTCAGTAACTCTCAGCAAACGCCAAGTCACTACTTAGATGAAGGAAGGCTGCCAGAAGCAAATGAACCACAGGAGGTACTATCAGAAAGCGCAAAGCGCAAGAGACATAAGAAGCAGAAGACTTCAGGAGTCGATCACGGTGTGCAGGAGACAAGCAAGGGAGTCAACTGGAGCGTAGTAGGGGCCCAATCACCTTCCTTAAAACAAGAGCGGGAGTCTCATACATCGCTTAAGGACATGTTCGATGAAGTTCAGATGGACAAGGTCCAGAGGCACGCAGAGAAGGCAAAACGCAAACCCAAACGGGCCAAAAGAGATGCAAGGCACTCATCAAAAGTGCGAGAGCAGTCGTCTATCTTGCCATCGCCAGACCTCAATCAGCTTCCGGGCCCAAATATTGGAGAGGTTGCTGTAGCATCATATCCCCTTTGCGAGGCCAAAGCCCCAACCAGAATATCACAAAGGCCCGGGGCTGGTAGACTTGCTGTACGCCACCGATACATCCAGCATAAGAAGATGTGCATGATGGATGACAAAGCGTTGAACGAAGTATGGATAGCTTGGCCTGCTTGATGGGACTTCAATTAGCTGACTCCTCGCAGATATTCATGATCAAAACTGGATGATTTCGGAGTTAGCATTGAACTCTTGAGACATGTCTGACAACTCATGAATAATGAACAGGGAAGAATTATCCATACCTAAAGTATCTTTTACGTGGGCGGCTTTGTTAATTTTTCTTGGATTGCCGCTTGCTCGCGTACAATTTGGAGGCAGCTAGCGCCTGGTTCGTTGTCGAAAGAGAACTTTCAGACCTATGATATGCTGGACCGTTATAATCACCGATCACCACGTTTCCAGTTTGCACTGCCAATCTTACTGCATTGACGCCGTTTTTCGACTGTCAGAATGGCACCCAGATGGACATTCTTTGTGACCATAGAATCTCCAGCTATTAATTATGTCGAGTGTGGAGGTAATCGAAAGACAAAGCACTCTGCTCTCCAGAGGACCCTCCTCTGCATTGAACAATCCACCAACACTAATGTACCCCAAAGTAATTCGAGCCGTTACACGCTAATTCTCAAGCTCTGCGGGGAGCTTCTTTTCCCCGCAAAACAGATCGGCGATCATCAAATCCATCACTCCTTGCTTCAACCTCAGTGGTAACCCGACGCAACTCTCCCTTTTCAACTCGTCCTCTCCAGCATCCTTGAATGAAGCTAAGAGCTACGTCCACAAGAAAGGTGACAATTCGACTTCATTCCATCCGTTCCCCGCAATTCCGCCTAGCTGTGAGATCAAGCAAACAAAGAAACTGTCCAGTGTCCCTTAAGTTGACAGCTGTCTTGAGCGCTTCATCGATACGTCGACTCCAACATTGATCCAAATGTCTAAAAACGAGAACTCACCACCACCAACACCTACTGCAACTACCGACCGACGAGCTTCCTTCTCACCAGGCCAGAAGCTCTCCGAGCTCTTCGGTCGTTCTCCTCCCAACGGCAATGGCACCCCCGCCTATCCTGGTCCCATTGCAACTGCAGCTGCCAATGCCCAGGCTCAACAACGTCGTCGTACATCCATCGCTTCACTAGGCCTGGCAGGATCTCCGACCCAGACGTCAGCTTTCACCAACATGAGGAACCGGCAGAGCAGCATCGGAAGCGGCAGCTCACCCTCTACTTCCATCAATGAAAGCGCCGTTGAAGAAGGGGATGCAGAACCAAACACATCGCCCACGTCGCCATTTGCTCGAAGGATGAGCTTCGGTGCGAAGGCGCTTCGAGATGTCAGAACGGGGGGAACAGGTAACGCCAACGGTAGAGCTTCCACCAATGCGTCTTCTGCCCCGTCTGTTAAAGGACGAGGTGTGTGTTCAAGCCACTCAGATGTAGTCAAACGTTGGGTTCTATAAGCTAACCTGTGCTCTCTTCGGGTTTAGGCGAAGGGTTCAATTGGCCTGAGCAGATCAAGAATAGGGCTGAACGATCAGCTTCAATCAACAGCCAAGCACCTCCTGCTCCAGCGACGGGTCCTTCGAATCATCAAAAGGCTGCCAGTGTGTCAGCTCCCGAGCAGCCGGTCAAGGAGATGCCGAAGTCTCCCAGAAAGCCGGATCATTTCCAGGAAAGAATCTTGAAGGGCGACTTCTACATGGACTAGACCCCAACGGCAACCGCATCAATATACAGTCGGAGCCGTCCAGCTACAAGCACGGACGAGACAGCATCAGTATATACGGTCACGCTTCTCAAGGCTGTCCTCAAATGGGTTACTCGGAAAAGCACCAGCGTACCATTGACAGGGTAATCACTTGTGCACCTGCTGATGATTCATTGCTACCAGCGAAATAAGACTCCTGGCAAAGGCCGGCATTCCGCACGGAGTCGTTGTCTTTGTTGCTCACCACGGTCATTACTGGGTCCGCTTGGACGCACATTATCGGCCCGATGCATGGGAGGACGCAGTGTGTCAGCGTTTCAGAGGGTGCACATGGTCTTGCTTCACAATTGCTAGGGGGGCCGTGGAATTCGAATTAGGGCTTTCTGAAACATGTCAATTGCTAATCATTACTTCTGATGATGACAACTATTGGGGGAAGATGCGATCATGCATGGCGCGAGTAGTGTACTTTCTGTCAGTGCTAGCATCACAACATCTTACCGCACCTCAACAACCAGGAATTTCATATTCCTGTCTTTTCCCCACACATAGGTAGCGCGTAAGCGCTTAGGGTCAGTAAGGTAGGCAGTGGGCAGTAGGCAGTATGTAGGTGCATTCCCCACACCCAGGAGAGAGTTTGGTGGGAGGGAAGTGGGGCACCTGGGGTGGTGGTGGTGTGGGCCATGTGGGCCATGTGGGCCTTTTGAGGAAATAAGGTAAGGTTTGCATGTGAACCGGTACCAGTACACGATTCCATCTGCATGAGGAGGCTATCTATTGCTATCTCCGGTTAATGTTTCTGAAGATGACGCAGAGTACTAGTACTCCACCACTCCACCACTCCATCACTCTAACCTACTACATGTACCTACTACCTAAGGTACTTATCTATGTAATTACTAGTACATTTTGCTCGGTCTGGCTCGGTCTTCTCTGACCTGGTAAGATGGGGAGGTCTTCCTCGGAGCCCCGCACCCTTAGCTACCTACCATACCGGTCTCTCCAATTGACCCACACACACACTCTCTCTCTGTCTCTTCCTTTCCTCCCCTCCCTCTCTCTCTTTGTCTTCCTTTTACTTCTCATGCATCGGATTTGGCAACACACCTCTCTCTCATAGCTCTCTGATTCAATCACATCTTGACCTTCTGCAACGCCTTCTCTGCGTGTACCCTGATTCCAAATGTCGGAAATACCCAAGCAGTACAAGGCTTGCGTTTACGATGAACCCGGAAAGATTTCTACCAAGATCGAGACTCGAGAGACGCCTGAGCCCGGGCCTGGTGAAGTCTTGATCAACCTGTATGTACCTGTCTCGCCTCAAGACCCTCGGACAAGGGACACATTTCCGTGTTGACTCCCGGCTCAAGCACTCATTCGGGAGTCTGCCACTCTGATCTGGGTGTCATGGAGAACTCAGTAGGCCTATCCTATCACTCCCTTTTGCCTGCCTCGCATCTTTTATCCCCCCAAAAGCCGGGGACTCATGTGCTTTCTAGTGGGCCTCCCTCCCATATCCAACCCAGGCAGGCCAGGTCGGGGGTCACGAAGGCGTAGGTAAAGTGGTAAAGCTGGGCCCCGGCAGCGAAAGCTCGACTGTTAAGGTCGGAGATCGTGTCGGCGTGAAGTGGGTATCTGGGACCTGCGGGAGTTGTCGTGAGTAAAGGCTGGGATGGGGAGCGCTCCACCCTTTGCAACAGGTGAGATACGCACCTGGTGCTTCAAGGCTGACGATAGCTACAGCTCAGTGTTTGGGTGGTTCTGAAGCTCTTTGCCCAAAGGCAAAGGTTAGTGGATATTACACTCCTGGCACGTAAGCTCCCCACCTGGTCCAGGAGTTCTCCAAATGTGCCCTTTGACAAGAAGGTGTTTGTAGTTTTCAGCAGTACTGCATTGGCCCTATCAAGTAAGCTCTCACCACCCATCTAAAGTGTTGCATAACACAAAATATTCTGACAAATTTTGCATGTAGCTATGTTACTGCAATCCCAGATAACCTACCATCCGCCGATGCTGCTGTAAGTATGAACTGAGAGGCAACGTGCGTCTGACTTGGTTGCACGCGTCCAGTGCTGACAATCTTAAAGCCTATGCTGTGTGCTGGCGTGACCACCTATGCCGGCTTGCGCAAATCCAAAGCCAGGTCCGGCGAATGGGTCGTCATCTCCGGCGCCGGTGGTGGCCTTGGTCATATTGCTTGTCAACTCGCGGCTGGCGGAATGGCTCTTCGCGTCATTGGCATTGACGCCCCCTCCAAGAAGCAGGTCGTCATGAACTGCGGCGCCGAACACTTCATTGACGTAACTGCGCACGACGACACATCTATCGTGGAAGAAGTCCTGAAATTGACAGGTGGCCTTGGAGCAAGCGCCGTGCTCGTGTGCACGGCGAGCAACAAGGCTTATGCGCAGGCGTTGGATTTCTTGCGATTTGACGGTACTCTTGTCTGCATTGGCATGCCTGAAGGAGCGCCTCAACCAATAGCGAAGAGTTTTCCGCAGGCACTCGTGTTCAAGCAGGCAAACATTTGCGCCGTCGCAGTGGGGACCAGGCGGGACGCAATCGAGTGTCTAGACTTCGCAGCGAGGGGGATTGTAAAAGCGCATTACAGGACGGAGAAGATGGAAAACCTGATGGAGGTGAGTGGCGAGAGCCCGTACTGACATTTCCTCGACAGGCTTGCTGACTGGAGGAAATGTAGGTGTTCCAGGAAATGAAGGACGGGAAACTGATTGGTCGAGTGGTCTTGGATTTACAATAGACCTTTGCACTATGCCGATACTGTTTGTGTCTTAGGTAAAGAATCATCTTCAGGTTCACAGTGTGTGAACTGCGATTGATACAACTGAACCATTTCATGTGTAGAATGTGTATCCGTCCGCGTGGTATTTTTGACATAAGGCATTAGTTTGGGGTTGTTACTCAACAACAGGACATGTCTGTGCCACTGATATCGCAATTCACGCTCCGGCATCAAAGCAGTCAGTACTAGTTGCGAATCCAATACCCATGCCCAGATTGACACTTGCAGCCGTGCACATAGAGACAGGATCAGGATTGAGATAAGTGAATGAGTGCGTAGCGGAAGCACCGGATGGACTTGCCGTCCATGTGGTGGTAGATTGTGCGGGAGCGTTGCGATATGCTTGGGCTTTGGCCGCGGGCGTATAGGATTTACGTGGCTTGCTTCGTTTCGTGGAGCGCCCTCTGCCACGGGAAAGGCAGGACATGTGTTGTCCCATGTTTGATTTCGTAAGTCGAGTGTGGTTGAGTACGCTCTGGGGTTTGGGGAATTTGAGGATGGAAGAGGGAGTCCTGGGAGATCTGCTTGTATTATTTCGCTGGCCCAAGACACTGGAACGTTGAGATTTGCTCAAAATCTACCAAAAACCTGGCTATGAATAATCTATAAGTGGGACCAGCCCATAGAACAGTCAAGTGTGCTCGAAACTGAGGCCATCCTTCTCTATGTATCTCCGGGCCCGACATATGGACTTTTTGTTCGGTAATGGTAGAGGAACGAGTGAAAATACACACAACCGAGGACCCAAAAACGTAGTGCCAGGAAACGCAACAAGATGTTAGAGACTGGTTTCTTATTCAAACCCATCGTGGGTTGCCTTCCCTCAGGCGCGCAGATCGCTGGAAGAGGGAATGCAATCAACAGCAGTTACTGCAACATGTGAAACCCTTCTCACAAGAGGATCAGAGTCGTCGATCCAGGTCTGTCCTATGCGCGCCGCGGTTGAGCGGAAGAAGATCGAGGTTCATCGGTTCTAGGTAGTATCGTACTCGTGCAACATGTCCTCAATCCTGCCGGCATATGCTCGAGACGCAGGCATATCATCAGCATCCCATTCATCAATATTCTCCTTGATGGTGGTCAGACGCTCGGAAAGGGACCTCCCTACGTCGGCGGGGAAGGCTCGCAGTCGGTCAATGATGAAGTGGTCTCTCATCCAGAGAAGGAGTGATGGATTGAACGGAGGATTTCCGATCAGGTAAGCGTACAAATTGCGTTCTCTTTCAGGTTCATTGGGCTCTTGATTTCTGTTCCAGCTGCTTCCCTCGTAGATGTCTCGGTTGTGGAAGCAGACCTCTTCTACGAGGTCAGTGAGGGTCTCAGCCAGGAGATATACTGCCCCCATGTCGAGAGGAGCATTCGTGGTTCTTCTCTCGCGGTCTTCACACATCTGGTGCACGAGCAAACGAAGAGTGCGTGCGCATTTAGGGACATCCATATCCCTCCACTGTTCTGGTACTACAACAGTTAGGATTCAGCATTCTGCTTTTGAAACAGACTTTCAGTTTAAGGACTTGTTCGAAGGGCAAAACACGTGTCCCTATTCCTCAAAATTGTCTTCAGACTCAAGAAGTGGTATGAAAGGGGAAGATGAAATTCGGGAAGGGCGGTTACTATTGTTCCTTGCGTGTCCGGTTTGAGGTCCACTCCGACCATAATGGCCAAGGCATTGAACCGCAAGCCTCGCTCTCTGACGCTGCTTATTATAGTACTGCCTGGCACACACGTCGGGTGGTACCACCTGCCGCAGGTACTGATAGAAGGCTTCATCATAGATTGCAAGCCGATAGATCGTTCGGGAGATATCTCCTGGAACGAAGATGTCGTCGAAAGACATTGGTGGCTGCTGGTTGTCTACAACATCGCGCTTGTACTCGCTTGGGGTGCGACCCTCATCAAAGCTTGAGAGAATATCACATAGACTGTCTATTTTCGTGAGTTCTTCTTCGTCGTCCCCTTCAACGTTGTTGAGACTCATGGGTAAGGAAACATGCCGTTCCTCAATGAGAGGGTACAGCTCACTCAAGCGAGAAGTCACTTCTATTTGTGTGGAATTTTCCGAGCTGGCTACTTGCTGGTCTTCGCTCAAGATGGCATGAAAGCGTCCAAAGAGCCACTACATCTGTCAGTATAGTATTGTCACAATTTGGACCTGGCAGGCAAGATGCTCGAAAAGATGGCTGCCAAAACGGTACAGATCCTCTTCGTGGAGCAGTTCGATCTTGAACAACAAATGAACACGGGTTGATGCCTAAGATTGTTGTTGAAAACGAGAGGGTTTTGGTGCCTCGGACTACCATTTCTTTGACAGCTTGCCTGCCCGGGTTGCTGGACTCACATATAGATGCGGACATGCACTTCGTGACATTCGATAACCCTGACAAGAACATTCGACCCTGTCTTGCAGTATTCGTTGACTATCCGGATTGTATACCTAATCCGACATTTCTGAGTCAGCCTTGCCCTTTTCAACGTCCATAAAACCGGTCTAGCAAGGGCTAAGGGGCAGGAGGGACTTTTCGCGCGCAACATCTATATGAGAAGTCGAACCGTGGTGCAGATTGGGGGAATCACCCTGGAATGTACATACTCGCACTGCAACTGGAATTCTTAGCTGGAAGGCATAATATCTATCTCTGCCATCTCCGTATGGTCGTACAAGATCGACCGAGAACATGGACTCCAAACCTTCAACAGCTGTCTGAGTAGAGCTGGGAGACAGGTGTTGGGTATCATACCTGTAAATTCCAATGTTAGCTTGACTTCTTCGCGATAAAAGCCAATCTATAGGACGAATCCTTGGGTTCGGGATTAAGCCTGCTACTCGCGGAACATGTCTAACAACGCAATTCACGATTAGGGAGAACTTGCTACGAAATGTGGACTTACTGAAGACCTGCGTATCCCGAAACAGGGGCTATAGTTAGTGCTGGAGGTTGAGCGCGGCCACGGCCACGGCCACGACCGCGACCTCGAGCCCGACCTCGCGGAGATCGTCCTGCCCTTTGCTGGGGGAATTGGGTCTGAGAACGAGTGACTGGCATATCGTCCAGATGTAAGGTTCCAAGCAGTCGGGCCGGATCCGACATGAGCAAACTAAGAACAGCGAATGATCGACAGGAGATGGTTGTTGCAGGAATGAGTACTACTGGAAACATCATGAACCTTTTGTACCGGGGCATTTGACTCAAATTTCAGGCAACAAGCTTGCTTGAAGAAGGAAGACGTGAGCAAAGGGAAAAGATGGAAGAAGTATCAGCCCCCTCTGACGGCGGTTAAAGGACAAACGCCAGTCAAATTTATCAAAAGGCGAGGTGGCCGCACCTCTATGGCTTCAGAGCACATTCTTCGAGCTTCTAAAAGCTCCGCTGAGCATCTCTTAGCAGCGCGCCAGATTCAGCTTGAAATTGATTGGAGGAGATGACACAGGAAAACGGGATATAGCTGAGTCAACTGGAGCTTGAGGTGGTGGTGCCGGCTACGCTGATGCCAATATGGGGCTGTCCCTCTAAACGGTCAAAGCGTGAATGGGCCAACGGCAAGTGGCGTTATAGAAGTCCTGTTGACTGCCATCCCACTCGTGTTATTGGCCATTGGAAGTGTGATTGAATCAGTAGCCGCGTGGTCAGGGCCGGCAACAGCGAAGCCTAAGTCATGAGTGCATGGCCTCCGTTCAGCTCCTCGAGGCTGATAGAAGAACAAGAGAATCAAAGATCGTGGGTGGTGGAGATGAAGCCGCATGGAGTTCCGGTCATTGGAGTTGGCTTTGGTATACTTATTGCGGCTCAGCGACTGTGCTGTGAACAAACTGTGCTCCTTGGTGGCGCTTCCCATAACCTTCGTCTCAGCCCTCGAACTCAGGCTGATTCATATCGATGTACTGCGCTTCATCGATGCAGATACTGCGTCCTCTTAGTCGCTCTAAATGCAATTGGTCAGTTTCTGAATTCTGTGAAAAATGGCAATCGCTTTTCGGCTCGTAAGCTGCTTTAAGCGCGAGGCTTCATTTGCACAGAGGCACCAGCCCTTTTCCTATCGACACAACATGAAACTATGATACACATGTGCAGTCGTGCCACCATAAATATACTACTCTTTCCGATGATGCAAGAGAGTAGCTATGTGAAATGGTAGCTACAACAGCCGCAATGAGACCCGCTAAACACCGCTTTTTGACCGACTACTAGAGAAGACCAACAGGGAATCGTGAGAAAGACAAGGTGCATGGGAATGGCAATGTGACCAAGGACTATCACTATTCCAGTCCCCGTTGCATTGCCGTCACTCGTTCCCACCATATTTGCTATGCGCCACCCATGCTTGAATCGAGCCGGCTTGTGTTGCTTGTCGCTGGCCGGAAGCCTCTATCGTGTGCTGGGCTTCCTCAGATGACGCCTTTCCCCTTCGCTGATGCTATTTGTCCGCCGGCTATGATAAATGGATAAATTGGAGATAATTGAACAATGGAATTCGAACGGCTTGGAATCCAAATACGTCGTGGTCTATCCCCCACATTGTCTGCTCGGGCAGACAATGAGGTGCGCTAGTGATGGTCGTGAGCACCTCCACTCGGTCGACTCTTCAACGAAGCAACTTCGTCTTGCAATCGGTCGATTTTGGCCTCTAGGCTTCGAGCATAAATCCAAAGCTGTTCATTCGATTGGGTATAAGGATTGTGAGGCCTGTCAAAGCTGGTTTGGGGCCCAGTACTGTGGCTAGAAAGGCTGTTGTTTGCTGATGACGTAGTACCTGGTGGATAGCTCGGTGAGTTCGGTCCATGTGATGGAGGTCCAGCGAGGCTATTGGGTACGCTGGCGTGCGGTTGAGTCGGCCCTGTGGTTTGGCTGTGTAGAGTATACCTAGTTTCCGGAGGGTTCAGACCAGGCAGCGAGGGCAGTTGAGGAGCATTGGGATGGCCCGCGGTGGGGTTTGGAGGTGGCAAACTCATTGGCGGCGATATGTTGTGACCCGTAGTGCGTCTACCGAATTGCGTGTGCTGGAATTGCTGCGTTAGGCTTGGGGATCTGTTGCGATGGATTCCGGTATCTGGATGGCCCAGCTGCTGGGATGTTACGCCAGCCGGTGAAAGTGGTTTTGGGCTCTCGGTCATGCCGCCTTGGGCGAAAACATTGGCGCCAGAAGCCTGGAATCCGGCCGAAATACCAGAACTAGGAGGAGGTGGATATGAGGATAAGCCGAGCGAAGACTGCGTACTTGGTGGGCCGGAGCCGCCTCTAGGGCTTGCGTTCGGTGGCGGATAAAGGCCACCTGTAGGCTGCCGGGCAGCTACAGGAGGATAGGTACTGGGCTGTCGTGATTGATACATGGTCTGGTGTTCAGATACATGTCCGTGGTGCTCATCAGGAGGAGCATCGTGTTTTCGAATGCTAGGAAGGCTCCTCCCGCCAGGACTATCATTGTCTTCGTCCATGTGCTCAGGCTCATGTGAGGCCTCGGCAGTGTACATAATCCCAGGCATACTGTCTCCGTCACCAGCCCTCATTCTCTCTTCGTGCTTCTCGTCGCCACCGAAACTACCCATGCTAGACCTCCTCCCAGCACAGCCACCCTGGCCCTTGTTGTGTCTTGCTAGTGCGTCGCCACGAGCGAAGCTGCGATCACACTTAGGGCAGACGTGAGGCCTCTCGCCAGTGTGAAGCTTGGTATGCCGTTTCAAGTCGTGTAAACGTCGAAATCGTGCTTCACAAGTGTCGCATTGGTAGGGCTTTTCATGGCTATGAGTAAGGAGGTGGCTCTTCAGATTGTGATGCCTGGTAAAATCAGTACTGCAGTACGGACACTTGTGTCTCTTGGTGGATGGAGACCTGGTGTTGGCTCTACCGCTACCGTACCCAGACTGTGGTAAGCTTGACGTTCGGTGTGCTTGAGCGGCCAACATTGGACCAGGATAAGTGAAAGCCTTATTGGAGCGGCCTTCTTCTGGATCCGTACCACCAGTATCGTCCCTTCCTTGACCATTCTCACTTCGACCCGGTCCATCATCGTCATCGTCGTCATCATCGTCATCATCTTCGCCCGCGACATCATCCATTTGACCTGGACTTGCCACTGAGGTACCATTTGCAGTGATTGTAGGGGCGGCCGTACTGCCAGATGTTGCGAAGCTTGCTGTATTTCGCGGGCTCGTCTGAGCTGTAGCCTCACTGGAAGCCACTGAGCCCCCAGTCAGAGTTGATTTGGGGGAAGGAGCCACCTCAGCGAGAGGTTTGCTCAGGGTAGATGCCTGGTTCGGCGCATCCTGTAACCTGCTCATGCCACTCCTTTGCGGTCCCGAGAAGTATCCAAGTGCCTTTCGCGCAGGATTGGGGCTTGTTTGGCGACCTTCAATCCTGTCTCTTTGCCTTTGCTCGTCTGCTAGAGCTGCAGCTCCTGTGAGCGCCTTTGGAGTATACTCCGGGGAAAGCGCTGACTTGGATGTGATTGACGCCCTTAACAGCTTGGCTTCGGGGCCGGTGGCAGATGCGGTTGTGAACGAGCGACGGCGTTTCCGAGCACTTTGGGGTGTGGCGAAGTCAACAGCGTGCGGAACGCTTGGGAGCTTGGGTGAGGAAGCGACGGAGGCAGGGGTGTGGGAGTTGGAGGGCCGGTCTGTCAAAGCTGCCGTCGCGCTGGATGTTGCTGTAGACGTCACGAAATCTGCCATCTAAAGGAGTTGGGAATCTTGTTTCGAGAGAGCACTGCCTTGGGGTGTCTTCACAAGAGCGACACAGAAATCGCAGTTCAAGGCCAGTGAAGGACACATTTGCCTGGTGAGAAGGTATTACTGTATTCAAAAAAGCCAGACTGCAGACCTAACGTGTACTGGTCCGAAGCGCAAAAAGCCTTTCAACCGTAAGGTACTCTTATTAATAAGTACTGTATGTTTGTTGTCTTTTCGTCCAAGCTTTTTGGTTTTGGATATCACATTCAGCCTGGCGCCGGAGGAGGGCTGGCACCGTTGAACAAGAGGATTTTGAAAAGACCGCTTAGCCGCAGCGACCGAGATGGAGAATTACGGTTGCGAAAGTGAATACAGGAAGAGAGAAAGCATTTCTAAGAGGCCGGGGGAGGAGAAGGAGGGGGGGGGGAGAGGGCAGTGGCAGAGTGGCAGAGAAAATGTAGAGGTGGCGGTGCCGGCGAGGTAAAAAGGGTGGAACATCACCCACCTTCTTGGAGTTGGGGAGCTCGGGGAGGCTGGAGTTGTTGCGCTAAGGCAGAGGCAAGCGAGCCAAGGAGCCATGATAAAAAACCGTTCCTCAATCCTCACACTTTCCAAGGCGGGATGACGTCAAAAGGTCCCGGTCCAGGATTCTCAATCTCTCGCTAGTCTAGTCTAGTTAGCTTGTATTATTACCCTCGTACTTTACTTTATTCTCGTCAGTGTCACCTTCTTCATATTCGCTGTTTTTCTCACGTTTGCTTTTGTGAAAGCAGACCACTTGGGTATACAATTCCATTACCATGTGGTTCTTTTATCCTCTCCCCATCCACAACGGAAAGCGAAGCTTTTTCTCCAGACGCCAAAGGAGAGTCACAGCTGGTCGATGTCGATGGTTGTTCAATCTTGGCAGTGCCACCAAGCAAAGGTACTTTGAACTTGCCATTCACCAGTCATTATTGGTCAAGACTCCTTGAGCTAGAGTAAAAGCCACCAGCACCACCGCCAGCTTGCTGAACCTGCAAGAAGGGGTCAAAGCCATCGTTGGTGTCAGGAAGCTGGCTTCATAGTCATGCCACGCCGTTGCTTTGACATGCTCGCCATGAATATTCCTACCTTTGTCTTCGGACAGGGCGAGGGTAGGTCGTGACTTGCTAACGTGCTTCCCTCGCACTGGGCTTGCACTCCCCGCTGCAGCCACTCTCGCCACTACTTGTACACGCGACAACTAAGTACCGTTCCTCGACTCCGTTCAATGTATAAAAACGAGAAAGGTATCCTGAGATTGATCAAGGACGAATGTCCAAAATACTTACTTCAGTTCTCATGAGAGTTACGTATTTACACAATATCTGTATATGGTACGATAGCGGCCGAATGTTTCAGACCTTCTCAATAGATACTCATAATGCTCGCTTCGTTGGCCAAATTGAAGTCTCTTCAGGTATGAGGAATACTCGTATGTCGTTTAAAAAAGCAATTCCCGCTCACAACACATGCTGTCGCACGCCTCTATGCGCCGCGAGGGGTATCATTGAAATTTCCAAGAACATTTATCACGCATCTCATTCTCCAGACTGCTTGAGTGCATTCCTCCTCTTCGCCTCCTCCAAAGCCTTATGTATTCTTGCTTCGTGCTCTGGATCTGCATTCTCTGCCTGCGCCGGTACGCCATCAGCGCGCCCGTTCTGGACGCCCAGAAATAGCATCAATTTGACGATTTCGTCATTGGTCCTCCTAGAGTCTTCCCTGATAAGCGCCAAGCGGTGCTCCAGATCTCTCATCAGTTTCTGATCTTCTTTTGCCCGCTCTTCCTTGAGTTTTGCCAGAGTCGCCATGTCAGCCTTTGCAACCTTGGCTTTCGCGACAGAGACTTCGTAATCTGCCGAATTCAAGAGCATGTCCGCGACGTGAAATGTCTGCACGATCTGCTCTGAAGATGAAGCAAGCAGAGCAGTGATGGCCTTGGCCTTTTCTACCTCTTCAAGCCCGGCTGTTGGCTCGTTCGAGCCGGGCACAGAAGCGAACGCTCTTCCAGATGCGATCCTACGCACGGCCTTCATGATTGCCTCCATATAATCCTGGTTCGCGCCCACCCCTCGAAGCGTGTTCTGATCGAGTACGTCCATGAGATGATTGGCTCTCGCATCACGTTGTTGGCAGTATTCGATAATCGCTTTCTTTTCCGCATCTTCAAACTGCTTCTCCAGCTGCTTGACCTTGGCAATGTTGCTCAAAGTGTACCACGGAGATATTTCAGTCTTCTTTAGCCGCCGGTCTCTCTCCAGAACTGCTTCGAACGCTTTTTGGTAACGAATCTCAAGTTTTTGGTGCAACGCAAGGAAGGAGCTCATCGTCGGTCCAAGCGCGAGTCCTTCTTCCGAGCCCTCGAACATATCTTTCCCAGCCAGCGTATGATCCATCAGTTCTGAATATTGCTCGTAGTGAGGAATCAGCTGGTCAAGCTCGTAATGTAAACGTGTCCAAACTAGGTTGAAGACATCGGATACGAAAGTCTGATATTCAGAGCGGTCCTCATCAGCTCTCCTAGCCGCTTCTGAACGTTTGAACTCTATTTCCAATTCCGCAATGTCCCCATACCCAATTTCATGGTCGTCGAATAGCGAGTCGATCTTCTGTTCAGATTCCACTTGCCGTGCATGTCGCTGTCTGTCATTCTCTTCGCGCTGCTTCTTAGCCTTTGCATCCCAGGCAACAACACTTTGGTGAATGAAACTGAATTCGTCGGGCACCGCCTCCATGACATTCCTCAGGTCTAGAATTCGAGCTGACTCGTGAACAACAGCGTCGGAATTTGGCAACGCCAACAGTAAAGGATCGAAATCGGCCTTCACAAAGCGTCGCAAATCAGGCGGTCCTTCGGCTCCAGGAGCTTTCTGCTTGTTTTCAGTTGCTGCACCATCTACCTTGACCTGCAAACTGGAGTTATATTGACTGGTTGGTGCCGTGATGATACTTGCCACTCCCGCTAATTTGGTATCATCCCCTCTTCCAAAAGTCGATGCACTTTCTAACGACCCCTGCGTAAGCGTCGCATATGGCCTACAGACGGACTTGCGATTTGCTAAGTAATTTTTGACCTCTGAGCGACCATCGCTGTACTTCGAAGCCGTGTATGCAGGCTTTTTAGTAGCTTCAAAATCTTCGAGTCCTACTGCGGTCGGTCCGTCGGAGCTTGGTGAGTCCGCACGTCTGGCGCTTCCTGGCGTGTTTGAGAGAGCGGCGTTGTCCTTCTCAAAACCTGATTTTGCGTCCTGCGATGAATCTACGTCTGTTCCACGACCGGTCTCTAGCAAGCGAGCTCCTACAGGTCTGCCACCAGGGCTGTATTGAACTTCATCTGATGGCGAATCGACCATGACATAGGAGTCATCTCCGAACGGCCTGCTTGACTTTTTACTTTCTTTCTTGGACTTAGAGTCGTCTGCCGACGGCTGAACTTTCAAGTCAACGCCTCGTCCGTCGTTTGTTAGGTCATGCTGTATTACCAACGGGGCCAGTGTGTTCCCAGGCATACCTATTACGCTTTCTCGATTTGCCGGTAAAGCAGGGAGCGCTTTCAGTGAGCGTTCGAGACCTATTGAATCGGCACGCTCTACAGCTTGCTTCACGAATCCTGCCTTCTCGACCTTTTGTATGGTCTCAAGCTTTTGCTGTACCGGTTTCTGCGGGATGATGAGCTCGTCATCAGTGCCGTACAAAACAACTCGCAAGCGAGATTCGCGACTGGTAAACACATTAAAGATATTTAGCTTGTCTTGGTTGGTTTCTGCACGTGATTCTTCTCGCAGCATTGCCGCAAATCGATTCAAGGATGCTTTACCCCACGGTTCGAGGTCTGAATATGGATCTTGGACCGTTTTCATCTCCGATGAAGTTGTGTTATGGGGAAGTGAGGTATCAGGGGTGAGCGGAGGAGGAGTTGCTTGGGGAGGTGCGCTAGTGACGTTGTCCTTTGACGGCGACCTGTCACTAATTGCATAAGTTTTCGGTGTCTTTGCATGCTCCTGTGAATGATCCTGCCTGGGCTCAATACTATCTCCCGCGTCAAAGTTCTCTTGCGAGGTGTTGCGAGGCATGAACGAATAAGGGTCTTCTTGCGTTGTCTCCGCGGAAGCTATCAACTGCTTCGATGGCGAGCTTCCTCGTGACAAGCTCTCGATTGTTTCTGAGGACACCATGATGATAGCTTCGTGCGATGTAGAGCCTCCTGAATTCTGCGGGAGCTCTGATTTGACCTCCTGTGAATTCCTCTTACAATCGTCTAGGTGGTCTGACTCGAGCTTCTCCAGTTGCATGTTTTGCGAAATCTGCTGATCTGGGTTTAAATCGTTTCTCTGCGATGAGCTATGAGAATTTTCGTTCGAATCTGTCGGCGTTGTCTCTCGCGAAGCCTGAGGCAGACCATGCGTCCTCGGGTCTGTGTATGTGTCTACTGAGGGATCAATGTCCGAGGACAGTCTGTTGATGCTTGGCTCGGTGGGAATCGACAGTGAAAGGCCCGACGAAACCGCCACGTCGACTGGCGGCAAGACATTTTGTATTATCTTTTCGCTTTCTGATGTGAGATTTTCTTCTTTTCTGGGCTTGACCTCTGCATTCGCCGACATGTCATTTTTTGCCGGCTCTTGCTGATTTGACAGAGGCTGCGATTGCTGTCCATGATGAGTGGCAGTCAGAACGGCATATGATGGGGTTGCCGAAACATTAGCATTGTGGTGTAGCTCTCGCTCATCAGGATTGAGGGAATCCACGGAATCTGGTAATTTTGGTAACGAGGGCGCGCCTTTTAATATCACGTCTACACCTAACATCCTTTCACGAGGGGTGGATGCCAGTGACGCTTCAGCAATATTCGAAGGCTCTACATCATTGTCAGGGAGAATTCCAGTGGCGGGCGCCACTTCCTGGACTTTTCCGACATAGGGAGCTTGCGACCATGCTCGGATTACATCGTCCAGATCTGGCCGTTGCTGGCCATCAGC